GCTACGTGAGGAAACCTGAACTTATAATTTCTAATATTATACGTTTTAAATCGCCAACCGGCAATAAGCAAGCCTGGTGGTTAATGCTCAAATCTTCTCCGTGTAAGAAGAGGCATTTGCTCAGCAGTGGGCACTTATAGACTGTTGATGTATGATGTAAGTAAAGTTAAGGTCGCGGATAGATAGACGTAAATCAAGTTGTCAGATCAAGGCATTAATTTTTTCTCATTTAAAACCGGCCCTGGAAACTATTGAGAAAGTTCTATGTTCAGCAGCGGACGCATTGTAACTGATGCCTTATGATAATTAAAAATCTTTACAGATACTTAGCTTATACTTAACTTTAGTTTTTTCTTCTTCTCCTCTTATAATATCTTCTAATTCACTTCGTTGCGGGAACCAAGACATGTCCCTGGGACGCGCCGGACTTCAGTGTTCCGGTGTTTTCATGGTTGTATCTACTGTAGATCCTGGCTTACAGGAGTTGTAGCGGTTTTGGGAGGTTGTGGCGGGCTTGTCATATAAAAAAAGATACTTAGCTTCATTATTTTAAAACCTAATCTTACTCATACGTAAAGTATGAAGGTATAAAACTATGGCCAAATGTTTCAGGTAGTGACAGCTCGCGGTGTGTTTGAAAAGAGTTGTCGCGTGCCTCGCATGTCGTGCGGGCCCGAGTGGGAACATGTCATCATGGGATCTGAAGGGTGCTTCGGAGTCGTTACTGAGGTATGTCGGGTGACTTTTCTTACTATAACTCTAACATGGATAGAAGACTATTTGATGTGATAATAAAAGGTAATTCACAATTCCACAACGGATTGCTAATCATATTTTGCAGGAGCTTTATCTATAAACATAACATCACGCCTCTTATCCTCGAAGGGGTAGGCAGAGGTGCACATTATACCACTGTACAATGTAACACCTACTTTTCACTATTCATGTTATGAGTCCCATGTAATAGGGGGTGAGCCTGTTGCCATAATACCGGGCACAGTTCCAGACACCGTGCTACTATTGAGATTTTTTTAAAACCCAGTAATACTTTGCCCGACCCGGGAATCGAACCCGAGACCCCTTACCCGGCAGTCGCAATTGCGACCACTTGTACAATGAGGCAGTCTGTATCTTTATCTAATAACTTGCAAGAATTTTTAATTTCTTTTTAAAACAACTTTTTTCTCTAATATGAATCTATTAAATATTATAGGTAACTATAAAAATCCGTCCACTTCCCCCCGTGGTCCGCTACGGGTCGCTCGTGTTCCCCGACTGGGAGAGTGGCTTCCACTTCGAGAGAGAAGTCGCCAGGCAACGTCTGCAACCGTCCAGCATCAGACTTATGGACAATGAACAGGTATTATTACATCTTGATTCTACACTAATGTTAAAAATACGTAGATGTATTTGTATTATATAAAGTTATCGCATGTGGTTTCTGATCTTCCGTAAAAATCTCTCTGTGAAATACTTCAAACAGTATGCTCAAATCGCTGCACGCGCTGGATACGATCCTAAAATTAATAATTAATTATTGTATTTCCCGCAGTTCCGCTTCGGTCAAGCCCTAAAAACAGAGAACACATGGGGCGGAGTTCTCCTAGATGGACTAAAACGTCTGTACATCACGAAGATCAAAGGCTTCGACCCTGCGAAGCTGTGCGTGGTGACACTCCTCATGGAGGGCTCGGCCGAGGAGGTCTCGGCGAGGGAGGGCAAGCTGAACAACATCGCCGCTCAGTTCGGAGGGATACCCGCCGGAGCCACTAACGGAGAGAACGGATATACGCTAACCTTCGTCATCGCTTATCTCAGGGTATGTATATATATTAAACATACTTATACATATAATAAAATCTTGGGAAACTACATCATGTAGGATGCTTTGGGCGTGATCTACAGTCGACACCGAAACCAAAAATATGGTTTTTAGAATTTTTGTCTGTTTGTCTGTATGTATGTCCGGGATGATCTCAAAAAGTGCTGCATGGATTTACTTCAAATTTTGCATGAATATTACTAACAGGTCGGGTAAACATTATAGGCTAGATATTATCATGCTATCAACTATGGGGTAGGAGCTGTGAATCACTATTCCACGCGCACGAAGTCGCGGACTCAGCTAGTATGTAAATAAACATATGGCTCATGAATTTTGTTTCTCAAAAGAAGGGATATGCAAAATGTGCAGGTCAAATATCACAGATTTTTGCGAGTTATTTACAGGTCGCACGTAGAAAGCAAGCTGCCATGCACATTGCCACTGCCATGTCGAACTAACAAATATAATGTAGAACTCACATTTTCCTTATGAGTCCCAGTTGCAACCATTGGATAAAGTATAGACTTAATATTAGTATTATTACTGAATAAAAAAAAATATATTATTCAGAAATTATACAGTGTTGTCTACTTACTACTTAGGTACAAGTAATAGACAAAGAACAATAATATTTATAATGTGACAATGTGTGATTAATTTCTAAGGTTTCATTTTCAACAGGACGTGGCCATAGAATACGACGTAGTATCAGAATCGTTCGAGACATCAGTTCCATGGGACCGCACGCTCGCGCTCTGTGCCAACGTGAAGCAGCGCATACGCAACGAGTGCGCCAAGAGAGGCATCGACAAATACCTCATATCGCATCGACTGACGCAAACGTGAGTCACATCATTATATACGTACATATTATTTATTATAATTTAAATATTTTGTAATAATATATGTTGTTAGGTAAGTTTAAGTTGTTTACTTAGTTTCACCAACGTGCGTCAGACCCTGGTTTGGCCACTGAGGTAAATAAGAATATAAGATAATGTCGAACCATAATATAGGTACCATGGGCGTAGCCAGCAATAGGTTCAGGGTGGGGCAACAGTCTGAAATAAACTATGTTGGTAACTAGCAATTATACCTGTGGTCTTAACCTAGTAATTTTTTTCATACAATATAATTATATAATAATACAAAAACTAATTTATTTATTTATTTATTTATTTATTTATGGATTGGAAAACCAACAGCTACACATAGGAAACAAACAGATAACATAATAACACCAGAGAGCCAATTATAGGTTTTCACGGACAGATTTCACATTATTCAATTAAAAAAAAAAACACTCACAGTCCAAACAAATACATCGTTTAGGGAAAGAAAACTAATAAAAAAAAAAACAGCAAGAGCATGTACCAACTAAATAAAATACATAAAAATTAAACACACACCAACCATACTACCAACAATAACAAATTAATAATAAACCAAGTTACCCACTTAATTCATTGATCAATTAAAAAACTGTAGGGTGAGCATCCTTCGCACCGCAGAAGTCCGCGTCACAAACGGATCTATTGGATACTCCTTACACAAGTTGTTTAAGTCTCTGCTTGCACGCATAATAAAGGAATTCTGCCTATACCTCGTTGAGGAATTCCGAATTAAAAGTGGGGGATTGTAACGAATAGATCTGCATGGCACATTGAAAGAGAGTTTGAACAAGAGATCGGGACAGTCAATTTCATTTGAGATGATTTTTAGCAGTGTGGTACAATCCGCTATCCGACGGCGATTGGTAAGGGGCAGAATATGAAACTGCCTACACAATTCCAGATATTTGTCTGAGCTATATGGAACATGAAGTTTGAAGCAAAGAAATTTAATAAAGCGCTGTTGAATTGCCTCCAGTCGCTGGATGTAAGTACTGTAACAAGGATTCCATATTTGCGATCCATATTCTAAGTGGCTTCTTACGTAAGTGCAGTACAAAATCTTGAGTGTTTTTGCCTGTTTGAAATCTTTAGAGACCCTCATAATAAAACCAAGTGCTCTATATGCCTTACCAACTATCTCTTCAATATGGTTATCAAACAGGAGTTTACGGTCGTGGTAAACGCCCAAGTCCCTCACTACATCGCATCTGGGTACCACCTGCATCCTCAACCTATAAGTTGTTGGCAATGTGCTACGTTTACGACTATAAGTAATAACTGAACACTTCGCAGGATTCAGGTCCAGTTTGTTACGCTGACAATACTCATCTAATCGATCCAAATCCGACTGAAGAGCCACCATGTCATTGAAGCATGAGACAGCTGAATAAATCTTCATGTCGTCAGCGAAACAGAGTAAATGAGAAGAATGGAAACAAGAATCGATGTCGTGCACGTATAATATGAAGAGTAAGGGGCCCAACAAAGAGCCTTGTGGGACCCCGCTAGGAACGGGTACCCAACTAGATATATAATTATTGATAACAACGGCCTGAGTCCTGTATGCAAGATATGATGCGAACCATCGAAGCAAATCCCCGTGGATACCTGCAAGCCATAATTTAGATAGGAGAATTGTATGATCTATTCGATCGAAACATTTCGAATAATCTGTATAAACTACATCGACCTGAGCTCCACCATCCATGCTTCGCGACACGAAATCGTTCAGTACAGCCAAATTCGTAACAGTCGAACGACCCCTTAAAAAACCGTGTTGGAAGGGACTAAAACAATTCCTAAGAGCCGCGTAGACCTGATCATATATCACCCTCTCAAATACTTTGCCCAAGATACATAGCTTTGAGATAGGTCTATAGTTGGTGATTTCAGTTTTTGGACCTTTTTTATGCACGGGTGTAATATAGGCAGACTTCCAGACGTGGGGTACAGTACTTGTAGATAAAGATTTTGTAAACAATAGGGAGACTGGAAGAGCTATAGATTTAGCACACTTAATAAGAAATTTGGGTGACATCTTATCCGGCCCAGCGCCCTTGTGAGGGTCGAGGTTGGACAACAATCTCATAATTGAATCGACCTTAATTTCAATAGAATGAATGTCAGATGCAGTCGAGACGTCATGGTTACGAATTTGAGACACATGGGAGTCAATGTCCGGTTCTAGAAAGGTGGAACGAAAGTGGGTGGAGAATGCTTCGCAGATAGTCATCGTGGAGGAAACCGTGGCGTCACCGTAAGTTAAATAGCCAGGTATAGTGCCAGACCTGGAGCGATGCTTGACAAAGCTCCAAAATCGCTTCGGATTTACTCTAATACCGGCTTCTGTACTAGCTATGTAAGCAGTGTAACATTCACCTTCAAGTCTGGTGATCCTCTCGCGTAGATGTTTAAAGGTCACCTCATCCGCCAATCTGCCATATACCTTTAATTTGCGATGATATTTGTATTTATCCTTTAAGAGTCTCCTAAGTTGGGAAGAATACCATATAGGGTAGGTATTATTGTAAACCCGCCTCTTGGGAACATATTTATCTTGTAACTCAGATAAGGTATTATAAAAAAAGTTAAGTGAGTCACCAAGAGATTTACTTCCGAATTCACACACCCAGTCAATGGCCGCAATCTCTTCGTTAATAGATTCAAAATTACCTCTGTCAAATAAGTATTTAGTGTACGGTGAAGATGCTAGACAAGTGTGACCGGATAAACTAGCGACGATACTTAGGGCCGGGTGGTAGTCGTCTATCGGCACCAGGGGGTCCAAGCATTCACCCACATATATGGTCTCATTGCATAAAACCAAATCCAACAGCTTACCGTGTGTATTCAATACTCCATTGTATTGGTTCAATGATAACACCTTCAATTCGTCCGTAAGGAGGTATTCGTCACTTGTGTGACGAATACTAATATAGCATCCAAATGTATGATTTAGATTTTTTTAAATAGATTTTAATAACTCTATTTCATTTTTTTTTAGATTTAGTCTGCAATGACAATTGTTATATGTGTGCAGTAAATAAATAATTAATAAATAAAATAGGTCTGGTTAGGTTAGGTGCCCACCGTATCTACGCCCATGTTAGGTATGTATTATTGCGTGCAACAACACAATACATTATTTAAATTGTACCTAAGTTCGCTCCTACATGACAGTTTTCGGAAATACTTTACCTCCTTATTATTTATTACACACATATTTACAATAACAACTAATGAATAATGAATGATTTTCATCGAAACTACCTAACATCTTATGTAGGTACTTAGGTACCTACACATAAATTGGAAAAAATACGGTAAAATTCTGCGTTTAACATGAATATTATAAATACCCAAGTAAAATAATATTATTCGAACTTCATTCCAGGTATGACGCAGGCTGTTGTATTTATTTCTACTTTGGTCACTATATTGGGAACTGTGCTGACCCCGTGTCGACATACGAAGAAATTGAAGAGGCTGCACGGGACGAGATCATAGCCTGTGGCGGTGAGCTTTTTTTTCTATTCGTTGCGTTATGTTGGCATTACTGCTTCGTAAAAAAGTCAATTTAGCGACTATTTTCATAACATTTTCCGTATAAACGCGAGAGTCAAACTGCATTTTTTTCTCTTCAATACTGCTAGTATTTTATATTATTCTGTTTTATTTTTACTCAAATAGTAAGTGATTATGTTTAGTTATTATTGTTAAATCTTTCTGCAGGATCAATATCACACCATCACGGGATCGGGAAACTTCGTAAGAAATGGTACGCGGACACGGTGAGCGAGCCCGGCCGACAACTTTTGCTTGCCGCTAAGAAAGCTTTGGATCCAGACAATATATTCGCATTAGGAAATATGGCATTCGAAGAACACAGCAATAACACCGACGTGTCGGTTAAAAGTAAATTATAAGGTTTTAGTTAATAATTATAAGTGTGAGCAAGTTTTAGGTCCATTTCAATCTTAATTTAATTTCATAGATAAGGTAGTAATTTTGTTAGATTTTGTACATTTTTTTATACAGATCAGAGAATAATATACAAATAATGTTCTAATAAATGGCATCGAAATTTCTATTAAACTGATGGCAATCAATTAGTGCTTTGAAGATCTTTCTGTTTACGGCTCTGACGTCATACTCATACGCAGCCACGTTTGCGACTACATGTGAAACCTTTGTGTGACAAATATTTGTTCGTGTATTTAATAAAAAAAAATAATTTTCTGTAACGTTTGATAGCTTACGTAGCGGTAATTTACTCTACTGACAATAGTCAACTCGTTCAATTATTAGTATTAAGGGTAACTTACTTTGATCACGTTGGCAAACCTCGCTTTGTAACATTCGACAAATTAGATAATAAATAAGTGTAGTTTAAAACATTTTTATTAAAGCTTGCGTTCGTTCTACTCACGAAATTGCATTGTTCTTCTCCATGACTTGAGAAGTAAGTATAAATTACATAACAAAGGTGTAGCGTGTAATATCGCGTCGCTCGCAACATATTGGTCGCTCAAGCAAGAAACCCTATAAACAATTAAAACATCAAACTAGATTTAGATTATTTAATTACAAATTGTTGAAAAAATAATATAATATGTTTTAATGAAGAAGTTATACATTTGTGGTATAGGTATTATGTTTTTGACATACACACTTCATGTGCAAACAATTGTAATATTTATTGCGGCCTATTTTCTATTTTTATTTATATGCCAAATAATTTTTGAATAAAACAATAGCCACATTATGTTAGCCATCCAATTGTAATGATACTATTGTATCCAGTGCCATAATTATGATGTTAGTTAGTTTGTAATTGTTTACAACCTATTAAGAAGATACCAATACAAAATAATATAGCTTTATGAGCATAATAAACCGACTCCTTAGTCTGACCATGTACTTACACATAGAAAGTCTCTCTTCTTGCACTCTGACACGTTAACACCGTCATTGATATTTATTATAGCAATTAATTGCTCAATCTTATTATAAATAACTAATACTTATAATAATTGCTAATGAATTTCTTTATTAATTCAATAAATTACATTCCTTCTAAGTTTTCAATGTAGGTATTTAATGTGATTAATAAGTTTATGAAGTATGGGTTTTGTGATTATTAGGAAATTATATGTTTGTCTTGTAAATAAGTGAGGGTGATTGCAATACCAATAAAGTTCATGTTACGAAGATCCAAAGTGTTTTATTGTTTCAAAATAGGTGCCTAAATTTTGTATTTATTTATAGGTATCATTTCCACAATTTGAAGTGGGTGGCTATTGCAGCTATATTTAAAATAATATGCAAGACAAGACTTCGTTTTTACCATTGACAGAAAGGTTTCGAATATCAACAGTATTACTCGTCCGTTTGTATCTCTTTTTTTGTAAACTAGTGAGTGTATACCATAACTCGACAAAAGATAGTAATTGATTTAATTAATTACTTATGGGGTAATCCAGTTAAAAACCACAATTCATACATGGTTTACGTTTATTACTTATTAAACAAATTATGAATACATAATATTTAATAGGACCTACTTCCTGTTACCTGTCATATAAATAAAATTTTCCTTTTTGTTTCTTTCATTTGACATTTCAAATTATTGACAGAACGGACGCATATTGCTTGTCATAAAAGTAAAAGTTGGCGGGTAGTTGATTTTTCTTTACTGTTTGAAATATTAGCATTATTACTGCTGTAATTATTATAAACAGCAAAATTCTTTACAAAAACGTGGTAATAACTAAAATTAAACATGATCGATCTGTTTATGCCCTTTCGGGCATTTTTGAAGTTTGAAAATGTGTGTACGGATAACAATGTTTTTCGTATGCACTATAAAGTGACTGTGATTATGTTACTTGTGTTCACGTTGTTGGTGACTTCGAAGCAGTTCTTCGGAGAGCCGATTCACTGTATGAGCGATAGCGAGAAGGACAGTGATAAAGACGCCATCAACAGCTACTGCTGGATCTACGGCACCTACACTCTGAGAAGCCGATTTGTCGGTCAGTATTCATTATGTTATAGTTAAATCAGATTAAATACCCTTTTAATCCACGTTATATCAGGACCATGCAAAGGCCTGTGTGAAGGAACAAACTTATCTACGATAGTTAAACGCAAACTTTTCAATTAGAATTTCAAACGAGATACGTTAAAGCCCGCGGTCGATTCAATTTTATCTTTTATTGAAGAATTTGAATGAAACATCTAAGCATTTAAAAATAATTAGTACCTATAGTAATAAAATAAAATCTTAAACAAATATGTTTTGCTTCAAATTGAATAGGTGTGGAAGGCAAGCACATGGCCTACCCAGGTGTGGGCCCCAACAAGTCTGAGAATGATGAGCAAATCAAGCACACTTACTACCAGTGGGTGTGCTTTGTGCTGCTCGGCCAGTCTGTCATGTTCTACACTCCAAGGTACCTGTGGAAGATCTGGGAAGGAGGGAGACTCAAGGCTCTGGCTTCTGATCTGAGTAAGTATTACTTTATGACTAGAACATACTGCATAGCAATAGGCTCCCCTTATAAAAAAGTGAGACTGACATTTTAATATCTGCTTTTATACCTATCCCTCTTAAAAGAATAAGAGAGGTAATTTTACAGTGGACTGAATGTGAATTTTACAGTTATGAGGAAAATGTAAGTAAAAGTAATACAAATAAAGTTCTACCTTTGTTCATTAATTTACCTTGTTCATATCTTTTATGTTTATAAATAATTTATTAATTTTAGGATTTGTACATGTAAACATGATCATTTTTTAGGTAGCCCTGTGGTAACCAAGGACTGGTCAGAGTTCCGGCGTGGAGAGCTGGTCTCCTACTTGAGCTATACCAACATACATACGCACAACATGTATGCCCTGCGATATGCCTTCTGTGAGATACTCAACCTTATCAATGTGGTAAGTAGACCATACACACACACTATTTATTCTAGGAATTTTGTTATTAGACTTGAAATAGTGAGCCCTTGATAAACTGCTGAACAAGGTTTTTAAAGGATCCTTTTGGATTTTAATTCCACCAGTGTATGAAGCCCTTGCATAATTTGGATTTATAGTGCTATTGATTGTGATTGTGTGATTTTGACTTTGACTTTGACTTTGACTATTATTGGGTCAGTCAACTCACATAGGAGATCTACATAGCTGAATAAAGGCCTAGTAAAATCTCATTTTTAATTACATACCTATTATGAATACTAACTAATCTGTCTTTTTATATCTTTTTTATTTGGTTGCACATATACACAGCGCACAATAAGTTGAATTTGAATGATAACTGTTGCTATTGAAGAAATAATATGCACTTTTGTTATGAAATTCATGCAGCATGCAATAAGAATAATTATTGATTATCAATAAAAACTTATCACTTTCAATATTTCCAGGTTGGCCAAATATTCCTGCTGGACATATTCCTAGGTGGAGCATTCCGTAATTACGGCGCAGCTGTGGCGGCGTTCACGCACACGCCGCGTGTTCCGGCCAACATGATCGACTTTGCATCTGTCAACCCCATGGATCAATTTTTCCCCAAACTTACTAAATGTTGGCTCCGTAGTTATGGTCCTTCAGGCACCTTGCAGATTAAAGATCGCCTCTGTGTTCTCCCTCTGAACATAGTAAATGAGAAGATCTTCGTGATTCTCTGGTTCTGGCTTATAATTTTGGCTTTTGTTTCCACTTTATCGGTTCTGTTTCGTGTTCTTGTGCTTTCTCTTCGCCCTCTCCGCTCACTAATGATTGCCGGTCAACTGAGATATGTGAAGAAGAGTACGGTATCGCGTATTGTGAAGAGATTTGGTTATGGCGACTGGTTCATACTGTACTTGTTGGGCAAAAACATGAACCCTATCATTTACAAGGATTTGATCATAGAACTTTCCAAAGAATTAGAACATAAGACTGTTATGGTCTAAGGCCAACCTTTAGTATTATAACATGAATACTTGTGAACTGTGTCTAAAAAATATTCACGTTTTAATGACCTGGGCACTACTAAACTCAGACGTAAAGGTTTCCTTCCAGTCTGCGTGGCAAACTGCCATTTGGCTGTTTCCAAAATTCAATTCAATTTAACTTCACTGTTATATATATAATGTGATTTAATACATTGGTAGTTCACTTGTATCTATCTTCATTTCCAAAACTGTTCATAGTATTGTATAAGTATACAACTAAGAAAAAGTGCCTTCATTGATATTACATATCAAAATGAATATCTAATTATTATTTTCATTTAATATTCTTGTTAATTTGTGATTAATTAAAACATTTATAAATATTTCTTGCACAAAGAAGTTGATTTATGTGATTATATAATTTTTATTTTGTTTCTAAAGTGTAAGAGGAGAAAAATTTAAGTTTGATTGTTTTTGCATAATTTTTGTTTGTTCATGACACTAGACAAAATTGTTAAGTTTGTAGTAATTATATACTTATAATATTGTAATTACAGGGTATTGTTCTGTAGGGGTCACTAATGGAAATACTCTATAAGTTGTTATTATTTAACCCTTTAACCGCCAAGATTCTGAACTTTCAACTTACCTCCAGCGCCACGTCACTTTAGGTATAAGTTGGAACAGTGTTGGGAACACTTAATATCGATGCATATATTCTTTATTAATTAAAATCAATGTTTTATTTACCTACTTAATAAATAATCTAAAAATTTTCAATCTTCAAACGAAGTATACGAAAATGTGTATTCGGGAAATGGGCACGGCGTCGTCCGTTCTCCTGCTGGCGACGGTGACGATGCTCCACGAGCATGTCGTATTAAATTTAATAATTTCATGTAAACTTCTGAGCGGATTTCCGACAGTACGGTTTCCAGCTCAAAAGGTTTTAAAGATGCAAAGTATTCATTTCGTGGATCACTTGGTCTCTGATCAAAAACTTTTGCGTCACCATCTTCTAACTTTGCATAATGGACACATTTGGTTTTGACTGTGTTGATTTATTTGAGAAATAACAAAAACCCAAAAAAGGGGTTACAACACTAGTTGCATTGAGTGATAAATGTTTAACGTGATTTTACGGTGACGGCGCTAAGGCAACTCACAATACAGCGCTATAATCTCCTTGGCCGCACGTAATATTACGGTGATGGCGACCGGCGATTGTCTGCACTAGTGCGGTTCTGCGTTATGAAATTTTTATATTATTGTTATAAATATTAAATAATTTTAAACTTAAATACATTTTAATTAGTACAAATACTTGCATCAAAGTAACACTATGGTTATTTTCTAATGAAAGTATACACTTTCATTGCAAATAGTGACAGTAATATCTATAGTGCCTTGTTTGTTCTTAGACAACCGATTAAGTATTTTTCGAATTCGCCCCATCCCTAGTACTCGTAAAATTACGTGATTGGCGATACAGATAATGGAGACGGTGACCACAATTTAATTAAACCTCAAATTTCACAGTATTTATCACTCAAAACATTGAGAAATATCCATAACAATAAAGATTATACCCTACATCTTGAAATTGACACATTTTATATGGAGTTTGTGCACTATAAGAAGATTTTTAATAAAATAACGCGATTGTACGTATGTGGCGATTCGGACACAGCTTTCGAAAACCGTAATATTACGTTGTCGGCGGTTAAAGGGTTAAATGTGTATTTATTTAGTAGAAAATACCAATAAGTACATAATAATATGTATCTCTTCTTAATTGTAAGATGATAATTATTGCTCAATATAATAATAAATGTGTAAAACATGGTGTTTTGTTTGATTGTTCACATAATCGAAACATTTCAGTTACAATGGGGATGATGACAGGGTATGAAAATTAAAAATATAATTAGTCCGTAACTTAGGTAATAAAAAAATATTAGACACGTATTTTTTTATTTTGTTGTATAATAAAACAATACTTAGATAAAACGAATCAAAGTTTAGGAGTGGGGGCTAAAACGTCATTTCTTAGTATAAAATGTACTGAGAAGTGACATCACGCGACATTTCAAATCAATATATCTTCGAAACTATTCGTTTCCGTAAGAAAATAAAAATACTTGTCTAATGTTTTTAAATCTACCAGACGGACATTAAAATAAAAATTAGTTGTCTACCCCATTCAATTAATTTGAAGATAAATGGCATGTGGCATGTGCAAAACCATATCCAGTCACATTTAGTACCCACACACAAATAATGCAATGAATAGTCTTTAGTAATGCAATTTAAAAAATAACACAAAATACAGCTGTTAAATGTTTTGCAAATTTTATTGAAAATACAAAAACTTCATAGTCAGTGATTGTATAATAAATTAGTATCAGTCTAGATATGCTATTTCAACCAAAAATGTATGAAGGTTATAAAAAAATGGAATTGGACACCAAAGAAAAAGCGGAACTAAAATTAGGTCTAATTACTAAATTCTAACTTATCCTGAGCACCCTCTGCATCCACAATGAACACACTCCACTATTCTGCCTTCTTCTAGTTTGCTCTTAGGCACCCTACATATGCAGTTAGTAGCAAAGTTTGTATCTCTGGTCTGAATGCACCGCAAACAACATAAGTTTTCATAACCAGTCTTCTTCCACTTAGCAATAAGATTGGCATCGGCTATTTTCTCATCCAAGCAGTATTGATACAGCTCTCTGCTGATTGCCTTGCGTCTATAGAACAAGTCATAGATGTAACGCGACTTCTGATGGTGAATTTTAAAAATTGGCCACAGTGACTCCTGCTTGCGTTTGCCTTCATGTGGTTCGGTTTCGGCTGAAAATAAACATTAATGGTCAATTTTAGTATTCATTTTAAACGTTATACATAATAAAATAACACGTATAAAGGACATTGAATAACAAATAAAAACACTTAGGTTACCTTCTCGCATTTTCTGTTCCAACTCTTCTAACGTAGGCTCAATGAGTTCCCATCCTTCTGGAGGAGGTTTACGACTACGACGTACTTTCGGCATTGTAAAAGCTACGCAAATTACTAGATTAATCCAAACAAACAACTTTCACAGCACAACTCAACTCACTTTGTTGACTTGACTTGACAGTTGACAGTGAGTGATAGGTAAGCAATTATGCATTGACAATCATAAATAAGTGATAATGTGGCAATTTTGTCTATGACATGTCGAGAATCGAGTTAACGTTAAGTAGTAACAATCGACTAAACGTGTAAATCAAAATTGCGAATCGCCTATTTTGATTTACACTAATTCTTTAAAATATTATAATAATTAATTACATTAAAAAAATACATGATAGTACACTGAGAATATGAATACATGGTAATTATATTATTATATGTAGAGATATAGATTTTAGTACATGATTGTTAAGAACGAGCTTCTTTCTTTTTATATTCATTGAAGTGTAGGTCGTCTGTTCATATGCAACCTATTTATTTGGTAATTCACTCCACCCATCCATATTAACCTTTTATAAAACAGACTAGCTATGAATCAGGTTTCTACTGGTTTGCCTCAATCTTACTAATAAATATATTATAAATGCGAAAGTTTGTGCTTTATCTTTGTTTGCTTTTGTTTCTCAATCACGTCAAAACGGCTGAAGGGGTCGGGTTGAAATTTGAAACAGGGATAGTTTATGTCTGGAATAATAAACAGGCTACTTTTTAGGTTTTATTCCACAGAAACACGGTCAAAGCCGCAGGCAGAAGCTAGTAATACACACAGGTTTCGGATGACATTCCTTTAAACTTCAAGTTCTGTATCAATTTTAAAATTATTTCATAAAGTGATGAGCAAAGTTATAAACCACAAAAGTAAGTTATTGCTAAGCTAATTAGAATAGGCGTTCCTGTTATCGCAAAATACCTTGGAAAACTTATGATTAACTTGGATAAATTAAGTGCCTCTCTTCTCTCTTCCCTTTCACTAAGTATCTGCAGCTATTAATGTTTAAGAAATGAATTACTTATTTTTAATTTAATGTTCCTATTATTCACAATAATGTAAGACATTGAATAATTTTCAATGCTAATCGTACACGAAATTGACAATAAAGCTTGGTAGGATGATTATAAACATCAATTATTTTTTTATTATCAACAGTTACATAAGTACTGCAATATTTCATTTTACGATCTCGTGTGATAAATATACGTTTTGTGTGCTTTCACTTTTATGAACAAACATTCACAATTTCTAAATCTTAGTTATGTAGATAGCTGGCTGAGTTTAATAAATTTTACGCCTAAAGATTTTCTGTACTTTGCAAAAAGGTGCTGAAAAAAGATTATGCTCCAATTGCGTTGTTTCGCGATAATAGTGGGTAGGCAGGTAGTACAAGAGTTCTTGTTACACAAGTTGGTCAGTGAACAATAATTGATTTAATTATTTTTATGCAAATCTTGCTGTGAATTCGATTAATTGAATAACATAAAATATCCTTTTTGATTACAATGGAAGTATCATCGCAATTACAATTTTAATAATACCGCGCTTACCTGTATATGAATAACGGGGCTACCTACCTATACAAGTTGGATGTATTGCCTTTTTGCTGGTGTCTCTATCTCGCAGGCTGTTGGGAGGATGGTGTGAGCGAGAGAGATATAACCTCGATTAGCACTCGTGGAATGCGGTGTTGCGTTCGCGCAAGCAAGCCAGCTCCGGTCCAGTCATTTCATTCGTCGCCGACAACGTTGTGGTGGCCGCGGGTATAACTTAAAAACTTAACCGTGTAATCAAAATATGTGTGAAAATTGCCGTTATGCGAGTGTTTGTCTGTTATCTATAAGTGAATAATATTGTGACACTTGTGTACAACATTTGTGTTATGAAGTTTTGTGAAAGTTGACGGAGGTTTTCAAGGAACTCGGGTGTCTCGTCGCTTATTTACCTGTAAGTCAACTTCTAAAGGTATACGTGTCTGGGTGACGTTGATTTCGCTATACAGCCTTCTAAACTGCGTATTTTTTAATTTATTTGCTTATTAATTTGTTAGCCTTGCGCCAGTAAATTCGACAATTTTAGGACAATCCACATCTCCTTTCTAAACAAAAACAAGTAGGAATTCCATTTTCAAATATTCTAAGTAAGCAAAGGCTATGTATCTTCTTTAGTAGGTAGTGGTAGTGAACGAGTTGTCTAAGCGAATTTATTAAAGTCAGCAAAAAACTTAACTTGTGTAACCATCACGTCCTATGTCCAGCGGACACGTCTCGATTTCTCGGACATCCTAAAAATTCATCGGAAACAATTGTTAATTCATCAAGTATCCGGTTCGTAATTAATTGATTATGCACAAAGATACATTTTTAAATTTCCTGGAAATTAAAAAATAAAGTTATTAACCGAATTTAAAAATAAAACTTGTCAATAGTGTTGGTACACAACTTTTACTCAAAAGGGACCTCTGACCCGCGGGCGCGGTCGTTGGCCTTGAAACCGACATTTTATTTTTAATTCGACAAGGATCTGACTTTATTTTGGGTAAACAAAATTCCTTGATGACGTCATTGGTAGGTTTCGTACCTATGAACTACTCGATACACAAATCAATTACAGGCCCGCATTCACTTACAATTTTGCAACATTTGAATAAACCTGAATCACCGACAGCCAGTAAGCCTACTTATTCGCTAATTGCTTGGCTGCGAATATTGCTCAGTGCTCAGCAGACCGGTCTAGTAATACCTAGGAAGGGGACAGGGTACTAGACATTTTACAGTAAACCTTTTGACCTGAAGTTTCGTTATAAAACATGTTTATGGCTGTAAATGTAACTGTGCGTGAGATTTTGTCATTAGCACAAGCTCTTCCCAACACAAGTTACTAGCTTTGCTCAGATCCTACGTGATGAAATCCAACAACGATCTTCGTCCATCATTCCATTTGGCAATGTACAAGGAACAACAAAGTATTATTAATTATCAAACACTATTAATATTCACATCATTTCAAAGCTCATGTTATTGAGCAATCAGGTGTTTATAAATGCACTTTAATTATGCACAAAAACAAAATCGGGGTCGACAACATTTGCTGACGTAAAGCTTTGTAAAGTTTTGAGGATTGACACTTGAGATAAAGATGGCTGTAGCGTGAATATTACGAAGATACTTTTTTTAAGGGGGGAAAAATCATCGAATGACTTCCCCCGCCTAGCTGAGGCAGAAGGGAGTGTCAGACTCTTACTGACTAACCACCCCATTCCTACTCCTGCACTTCGAGACGGAGTTCCGGTAACCCGTTAGGTTTTCCGCGACTCCGTATCGGCATAAGCCCTATTGGGCCCCAACCGTGATATTACGAAGATACTACAAGAGTATCTCATGATACCAATATGTTATCATTTGTCAATATTGTTAAAGTAGCTTACTCCCTACTTTATGTGAGAGAACAGGATCTATAATGTCATTTTGGGCTCCCGTGACCATAATGCCTTTGGTCTCCAGTCTCCATACACAGACATTTATAATACCTATGGTAATCTTCAATAAATAAATAAATTATTGCTTTAAAACGTGTAACTAATCGTTTTATTGGACAGTTTAGTAATTCTTATTAACTCCAGTATTTATGAACTATAAAGTATGGGATGAAGCCGTTTAATACATAAAAAGGGAATCGATTTTTATTTGTGATATTTTCTATAGTTATTCGATACATGACTGCATTTTTCCTTTAAAGAACTCCCCTTTATTTAGTCATATCTTGTGATGAGAGATTCTATTGCAGTTCTTAGTATTTGTGCATATACCTAGGTATCCAGATACGCATAATCGTTTAACAACAATTTATTACAACAACTAGATATTCGATGTCAATGATTTAATCTCATCTAAGCTTACTCTGAAGATCCGTAATACTTATCCCATCTCTCTCTTATCTATCCCGTCTTCTTTGTCTTTTGATAAAAATAGGCTAACATTGCATGATGTGTAAACAGTCGACCCTCGAACCAAAGCAGAGAAATTATACGAACTACGCTCTAGTGTGATAGTTAATCCTCACAGCCTACTTTGAATTGAGTCCAGCGATACGGAATACCGACACAATAACTCATAACTATTACGTTATTCGGTACTCCTAGATTCAAAAGCTTTTGGACATTGATGATTAAGCATAAACCAGACTTAACATTTTCCCTGTTAACGTAAGCGGAGCGTCAGTAAATATCTGTTAACATCGACTATAATCTGTGTTCACAGTATTACTGTAATACTTTATGGATAAAATATAGTTACTCAGTGAATCAGCGAAGTGCATTGCTATAGACAAGATGACGTAAGGTCACGTTTTTCAATTCATTCACGTTTATCTTGAGCTCAGTCGTGCGGTCACAGATTGCTGTATAAACCACCAGATGAAACCTTCGATGTTGACCAGTTTAAAGTTCATGGTTTGCAAAAATACACAAATAACAGACGTTTTTGGAGATTCTAAAGGATTCTTTTGGAGATTTCTTTAGTTAGACTAGCACTTACGTCCGTGTTAGTGTAGGTACACATGAACTTAGACTTAAGATGTAAGAAGTTACATCTTAATCCCTCTTAATCGGTTTCAATTTAATAACTGAAGACAGCAAGAGAAACGAGAAAACAAATACTTTTTGGATGTCTATAGTACCTACAAGAGGAATTTTGTGCGGTCCTGAGATGACATTTTTTCGGCACATATTTGAACCATTTGCATCTTCTATCATTTCACATTGCTAAATTATTTTTATGTACCATTATAACTCTGGTATTGTAGGTGTTGACCCACAAAACGAATTTAGCGCACAATGCTAAACTTGCTCAGGGGCGGACAGCTAATTTGTGGGCCCTGGTCCAACGGTCAGGTGTAGGAGTTTCGCTAAAAAATATAAAAAATCCGTCTCAATATTCGAAATGAAACATAAATTACAAGCTTTAGATTTTCTTTTTTATGTTTCATACACAGCATTTTCTATTGTATGTATTGTTGTGGCTTTATGTCTGCCGGGGGCCCTGCGGTGCGGCCCAAAAAGCCCGTAGGTAGATCCGCCCCTGTTTACAATGTCTATTCAATGCTAAACTAAACAACATATTGCAAGTACCTGCCTCTCAGCCTC